TCTATTAGTTCCTAGAAGTTCCTAGAAGCTGTTCAAAGGAAACAAGGAAGCAAAAAACATGCAGTGAATTTCCACTGGTCTTACTCTGCAGCAGTGGAAAGCATGCTGGGTTGGGAAGATCTGGGCCTTCCCTCCTGTGTGACCTGGGCCTCACCTTCCCCTCTGTAAAAATGTTATGGACAAACTGATGAGCTGCAGTTATAGTCACTTCCAACTATCAATGATGTGCTATGATTCTGTGTGTCTGAAGGACATAATAGACTGGGTTTAAGCAGGTGCCTTTTACTGGGAAAAACATTTAAGTCATTCATTCATTCAGTAAACACTACTAATAGGCACTAAGCCACTTGGGGTTCAAAGATAGTTATGATGTGATGTGGTCACCTCCCTCCAGGAGCCACAAGTCCTCCCTGAGCCACAATGTCCTCATGTCAGGGGTCATCTGGCTACAGCATCTACTGTATTGACTCCATCTCTCAGTGTCCGACAAGGCCTTCCCTGTCTCCCCCAAATTGGATTACATCTCCCAGGTGCATACTTCCTTAGTTCCTTGCCCTTTTCCTAATAACTTATATAGTAATTCGTGTACCTACCTTGTCACACGAATTTTGGAATATTAGCACAGCACAGAGTGCTCAATAAAGATCTGCTGAATGAGTGAGTCAATCAATGAATGAACGCACATACGTTACGGATAGTGAGCCAGGTGTTCCCTTCCCTTCTCCCTGCCCCATCTGCCCACCGCTCAAACAGGGGTAAGAAATAGGAACACATCGGGCTGATCACACGAAATAATGGGCATGAAAGTGGGTTTAAAGTTGTAAGTGCGGCAGTTATAAATACATATGAGTAATAACTATTAGTCACAGGGAGAAGGAAGCACTAAACACCCTCCCCGAGCTGAGCAGGGAAGGCTCTCCTGCCCCTCTCTTCCTCCTCCTCCACCTCCCAGGTCTCAGGCCCTCACCTTCCAAACACACAGGCCTGGGGACAGGCCAATGTTGGTCACCAGGAGCCTGACCCAGGGCTGTGCATGCAGGCAGAGGGACCCTGGGTGACCAGGGCAGAGTCAGAAGTGGTTCTACTTGGGGAAGTGTTAGAGAAGCAGAAGGTGAAAGGGCTCAATTCAGGAGAGGCCTTCTAAGAAGTCCTGAGGAATTTATCCACTTAGGTGCCACCTCATACCAAGGACTGTGCTAACGCTAAGTTACAACCATTCACAATTCCAAATCCTGTCCTCAGAAGTACAGTATAAGGAACTCCCACGCCCTGCCATGGGGCAGTTCAGCCAGGGGGTGCCTGTGACAGCAAGCAACCTGGTAATCCATTGCAAATGCATGTCCTGCTTCCTGAGACCACCCAGAAACACTCTCCCAACAGATCCTTACCAGAAAAAGAAAACCATCTACTTAAAGGGCCAGCACCCAAGAAGGTACACGTGTTACTGAGGGAAAAAATCCTGAAACCCTTGTGTACTGTTGGTAGGAATGTAAAATGGTGCAACCATTATGGAGGTTGCTTAAAAATAGAATTATCATATAATCCAGCAATCTCACTTCTGGGCATATATCCAAAAGAATTCAAAGCAGGATCTCAAAGAGATACTTGCATATTCACGTGCATTGCAGCATTATTCACAATAGCCAAAAGGTAGAAGAAACCCAAGTGTCCATCAGCAGATGAATGGATAAAGAAAATGTGTTATATACATTCAGTTGAGTACTATGCAACCTTGAAAAGGAAGGAAATCTCGTCAAATGCTACAGCATGGATGAACCTTGAGGACATTATGCTAAGTGAAATAAGCCAGTCACGACATGACAAATATGGTGTGATTCCACATATATGAGGTATCTAAGTAGTCAAAATCATAGAAATAAAAAGTATCAAAGTGTTGCCAAAGGCTGAGGGAAAGAGGGAAGGAGATTAGTATTTACCAGGTATAGAGTTTCAGTTTTGCAAGATGAAAAAGTTTGAGAGAGACCGGTTGCATAACAATGTGAATATACTTAACACTACTGAACCATACACTTCAAAACAGTTAAATTTAATGTTATGTGTTTCTTAACAACCATAAAAAAAAATCTTGAAAGCACATAAAAATAAAAAAAGATGCCCAAGACAGATAGATTTTAAAGAAAATCTATATGGCAAGAGAACAAACGAGAAAGAGGGAAAGGGAAGAGGAAAAACAGCAGTCAAATCAACGAAGTCCATGTTTAGCTCTGGTCAACACTGCAGTATGGAAATGAGGAAGAGGAATCCACACACCTGCTGGAGCCCCAGCTCAAAAGATGGATCTGGCCACCCTCAGGCTGATCACTTTACTTTGAGTGCTTCTCTGTCTGTGAAATGGAGACAGTCTGCATGCCCCATCCACTGTCCTGTGCAGAGCTCCAGAGAGGATCAGGGACACTGGGATCTAAAGGGCTTGGCAAGGCACGACACTTCACAGATGTAAGACACCATGATTTTTATCAGAACTGCTTCTCCCTGAGGACTAGCCACCACTCTGGCCAAGCCGGGAGGCCTGTGCCTTGTGAATCCTCAAGAGCGCCCAGCCAGCCAACCCTGCAGCATCCTGCCCAGTGCTCGCCTGGCACAGTTCAACATAAAAGAACCAAGTCAGTAACAGTCCTTCACACAGAAATCACATGCCCCAGTTCTTGACAACCGTAATTACAGCCAAATCAGCTTCAGAAAGGGAGAGAAGAAAAGAAAATGCCAGCCTGGATGCAGCCGTGAATTGGGGGGTTCACGGTAAAACACACACCCAGAGTTCTTATTGGTGGCCAGTCTAAACAACTGACTGGACAGCCAGACCAAACAGCTTTCTGGCCAATTAATCTCTCCCTCTAATTTAATGAGCTGCTCATTAAAAACTGGAAGCAGGTCACAGGGAAGGGAAGCTCCTGGCACGTGGCCATGTGGGCTGACAGGTGAGGAGGGAAGAGGAGACGGGGGCCACACTCCAGCCCCAAAGGCCTCCTCCAGATCCCAGGTGTAGCCAGCCCCACCACACACCCTGGTCCTCCGCTGCTTCAAGGTGATGTTTTCCCGTACCTCTGTTCCTTCCACAAAAGTTGTGTTTCTGCCACTGACTCCCTCACTGGGGAAGTTCCAGGTTCTAACCCTTTGGCTCCCCAGCTGGGGCCATCACCCAAATTAGGGTCACAGTCCTGGGGGTGCATCCCAGCTCCACTTATCGACATCAATTTGAAAATAAATTTAATCCCCCAAGCTTCCGTTTCCTCATCTACAAAATGCGATAATATCCTCACCTCATCTAGAGTAGTTGAAAATAAATAACATTATATCTATATTAATAGGGCCTAATAAAGTACCTGACACTTAGTAAGGACACGTGCCGAACAGTAGCTATTACTACGGATAGCTACTATTATTAATAGAGCTATTACTCTATCAACGAGAGATATTACTCTAATAACGATAGCGATATCAGCAACATGTTCCCTGTCTCTCAGCCAAATATGGAGAAAAGAGGAACTTTTTCTGGTTGAAACCCCAGGGACAGGCCAGCTCCAGGTCCAGTCCTCGTCACAGCCGTGGTGAGAGCAGTAGGCCATCCTAACAAGGGTCACACTCCAGACATCCCCAGCCAAGGCCTCTGTGCTTTCTGTCTGATCAGGAAGGTGAAGGAGGAGAAGAAAAAAGGCCTGGGAATACCGAACGCCAGGATGAAGCCACCGGGGTGATGAATTTTGCACATTCTCACGAGAACGAATAGAGAACTGCATTCAGCCACATGCCCGCCACTTCCTAGACCCCTGCGACTCCTCACTGTGCCTCTCTAAGCCTCAGTTTAATCTAGAAAATGAGGGCAACACGACCCTCCCTTCACAGCTTATTGTGAACACTAAATGAACTAACTGATGTCAAAGTGCTTTGAAGCGACTCATTCCTATGTCCATGAAAAACAGTATTGTTGTATTTAACACTAGTTTCAATAAATTCAACTTAACAAAAAACACTGAAGGACTGGGAGGGTTAAGGCAGTGAAAAAATTATTTTATTAGGCTGATGAAGTGCTCAGAGAAACAGGAGCAAACATGCTAATTTTCTTCCCAAAATTACTGTCATTGAATTGAAGTTTCTGTCGATCAGATGAATTGGCTGAAGTAAAACTAGCAAAGCAAAATGAAGCTCCCAACCTCTGCTACATGGTTTCCATTTAGGTGAGCAGATTCTTCTAAAAGACAAGGAGCCCAGACCAGGCTGTGTCCAAGATGACCAATCCAGCCACCTCCCATACCCATTCTCTCCAAAAAGCCATCACAATCCATTTGACCAAATCCACCTTTGAAACACACCAATCTAAACTAATTTCTGCTGCTTCAGGTCAGAGCACATGGACAAATTTCTTCACAGGTGATCAAAAGACAACTTAATTCTTGTTCAAACTCTATTCCGTGTACCAGAGTCAGAAAGCAACAGGTTGGAAAGCTTACCAAACCCTTCTAAAGTACCCAAAATGGCAGATGAGAATGCATAACACTTCTAGAGCCTAAAGCAACCAACCAAGGAAATTTTGTTGAAATCCCACATTTGTTTTTAAAAATTCAAGTAAATCTTATCTTATAAACCACAATAAATTGCTTTACTTTTTTAATGTTTTGAGTCAATTAACTACTAATTATCGAACGTTTTCCCTAAAGTCTATGAATAAAAAAGACACTTCGCCATTCTCTCTCACTCCACACATCCTCAAGAGTAACATGCATCTCAGTTTGAGACACTGCAGGTCAGGAGAGAGAGGGAGGATGGTACCCCTCCAGCCATCACATCCACTTGAACCTTGGCCTTTAATCAAGATCAACCACCCAACTCAGAACAGCTTCCCTGGACAGTACAGGGAGAGGGGGTCTGGGGTTCACAAAGGGTGTAACCATCCATTGTGGCATCTCTAGCATTATCTAAAAGAGCCAACAGCTAAGATGCTTGAGTTCCAGGTCCACACAGCCCCACTTCCAGCCACTTACCCGTATCCGGCGCATGGCAGCCACGATCTCCACTCTGCTGTTGGGCCTCGGCACATCCAGGCTTCCTACGTACTGGGGGGAAGAAGCAAACACTCATTGAGAAGAGAGGTCGCAAGCATCCCTAATCACAGAATGTCAGCAGTGGAAGGCCCTTTGGAGGCCATCCAGCTCATCTCCCCATTTTATAGATGAGGAAATCAAGAGCCAGAAGCGTGTCTTGTTTTGAGACTATTTCTAACTTTATGAAAAGCAACTAAACAAGAAATTGCTTCCTTTTTCATCTTGTGCTTTATCAGAGATGCAGCTGAGCACTGTGTTTAACCAAGCAGGCTTCCAAATCAGAAAGACTCTCCCACCACTATCCTTGCAGTAAGGTACCTTACCTTTCTTTGTCTCAATTTCTTCATCTGTAAAATGGGATTTCACTAAAGATTGAATGAGATAAGGTATAAATCTCTTGCACAAATGTGCTCTGCACATATTATATACTTTTTTTTTTTTTAAAGATTTTATTTATTTTATTTTTTGCCCCCAAAGCCCCAGTAGATAGTTGTATGCCATAGCTGCACACCCTTCTAGTTGCTGTATGTGGGACTCGACCTCAGGATGGACAGAGAAGTGGTGCCTCGATACGCACCCGGGATCCGAACCCGGGCCGCCAGCATCGCAGTGCGCGCACTTAACCACCAAGCCACAGGGCCGGCCCTATTATATACTTTTTTAATTAGTGGAACTTCATTGAGTTAGCCCTGGATGTTATAGAGACCTCACGCATTTCAATAAGCTCCTAATTGGAAGAAAGGAATGGACCACTTACATTTTATTAAAAAATTTAACCTGATTAGACTTGCAAGTTATTTTTAAAACCAAATGATATGCAGATAGTTTAATATATGAGTACTTTCTTGCTGTAGACTATTCATAATGCAGAAATACGCAAAGCAGAAGAATAAAGTCCCCCACTGTCAACAGTTGGACATATCTCTTTTTGTGCACTAATGGACGTATATATTCATAGACACACAGGGGAAATTATTTTATGTAAAAAGGTTCATACTTCTCACATTGTTCTGCAACATGTTTTTGTTTTTTTTTTTTTAACTTTAATATAATTTGGGCATCTTTCTCTGCCAATGCATATAGCTCTATCACATTACATGTGATGGCTCCCCGACTGACGGACACTTACCCTATGTCACTATTACAAACAGTGCTTCCACGAACCTCCTCATCTACACACCTTTGAGCTCATCCACACACCTTTGAGCTCATCCAAATGACCTGGATTCCTACAAGTGGGATTGCTGCATCAAAAGTATAGAGACTCTCTAGATATCATTCCTTAGCAGGATGAAATGAGAAAAGAGGAGGACAATTCAACATTTATTAAGCACATATGATATTAGTTCCCTCATACACACCATCCCATTCCAGATTGACCCACTGGGATTTGCCTTTCCTTTTTACACATAAGATAGCCCAGGGGACACCTTAGAAATTAACAGGCCCAGGATAATTGAAAAGTCTACCCAGGCAAAGATTGCATTAATGGAAGACAAGAGGACAGTCATCTCTGCAGGGAATGTATTTGCCGTGGTTACGGGAATAAAGGGTTCTTCCTGAAACTTGGAGCTAAGGCTGTCCCCAGTGAGGAGGGTTTCAAAAACTAAATATTGCACAAGGTTTTTCCCTAGTATTGATCCACAGTTTGTGCTAATACACTGAAGAACACAGTTCCCAGAAACCTGTGGTAAGCAGTGAGCACACTGCAGTCTGGGCCCATGGTGGACAGCCCCACCGATGCGGGTGGGGGGCAGTGTACCCGCCAATAAAGCACCTGGAGACTCGCTCAGGTAAACGAAGCCCCCAATCCAAGTTAACCGTGCTTGGCGTTTCTCCCCTCTGAGCTCGGCTGGGGCCCCTGCAGTGTGTCTACATCAGCGACCTACACAGCCAGGAAGGACATGAGGCCCGGGTTTGTGACTGCCCAACTTCAGAGGCCCTCTAGCCGGGGCTAGTTTCCACACTCCCTCTCCTGGACACTGCACGCCTGATGGCTCTCGCCCTGAACTCTGAGCAGTCAGGACTGACTTGGCAATCAGACCTGCAGGGGCTCGTGTTCCCTCAGCCGTCATGTGAGAGTCAGGACCTCAAGAGTGAGCAAGGTCACACATTACAGGTGAGCCTGGGGGACTGCACGGTCCTCCCACACTGATCTCTGCCACACCAGGAAAGGGCCTGTTGCCCAGTAAGATGCACAACTGGGCCTGAACACAAATGCCCAGATGGGAACCCGTCCCCACACTGCTACCTCCGCCCAGCCCCTCTCCCCCTCCTCAGGAACGGGCACTGTCAGACTGAGAATCCTGAAGCAATCAGGAAACACAGAGTGCAGGGAGTGGAGGCGACACAGATGGAGGAGAGGCGGCTTTCTAACTTGGGAAGGGTTTCCTAATGAGGGAGCAGCATTCCGCATGTGAAGGAGCTCACATGAGGACACCCAACGTCTTTACCCTACCAGTGCCTCCTTCACACCATCAGCCACCACCCAAGCTGGCACACATGCACACACATACACCACACCCTTCACACCCACATGCAGTGCACACACGCTCACACACTTCACGTGCCACACGCACACACAACTCACCTCACATACCACACGCACATACTCATCTCACACCCCCCACACAGAGCATGCACACAGTCATCCCACACACTCACTAATTCTTCACACTCACATACACACCACACAATCACTCACTCATCTTCCTTCCTTCCCAGTCACGGGAAAATCACAAATCTGCCTTTCTAAGAATGAGTCCGGAGCAGATAACCCACCACAGACACACTTTAGGGTCGAAATCTCCACGACAGATGCACCTTAGGGCCAAAGAGATGAAAAGGAAACACAAAGCAGGGTTCATGTCCACATCTGCTAGTCAAAGCTAAATATCTACACTAATAACATGAATCGAAAAGGAGAACCACGATGCCAGGAAAGCAGGGGAGGGGTCAGAAAGCCCAGACCTCGGGGCAAAACCAGAGGGTATGATAAGTGAATACTGCCCTATGTACAAGTATAACCCCGCCACAAAAAGTTTCTCGATAACTAACGATTACCACCTTCACAACTAACTTCAGTCCATCCCAAGTCTCTATCTTGAGACAGAGTAAGTGTGAGACACAGTCTGAAACCAGACCCACCTGCTGGAGGGTGGTCCTTACAACCACTCCACCTCAGTGGTCAAGCTCATCATTTCCTTGGTAAACTGAACACAGGCCGGCACCCTCCCACTCTAGAATGGAAAGTTGGCTCCCAGGCCTGAACCTCATCCACCTGCTGAGCTAACAACCTTTGGAGATCCAGGCTTCTGTCACCTCCTACAGGGATCAGGCGAAAACCAAGTCCCTGCCCTCAGTCAAAGGCTAATGCACGGTGACAGGTCATCACTCAGAAATGGCATCCCCTTTATCTGCCTCTCCTGCAGGATACTGGGTGCCAAAGGCTCCTGGGAAAACAGAGGTGGGTTGGCTCCATGCCTGGGAATCAGAGGAATAACTTCAAAGGGAAACTCGTGCTCTCTTTCCCTTCCCCAACCCCAAGCCATACTCCCCCCCAGGCTTCCTCCTCTTGATCAACAGCCCCCAGTTGTCCAGCAGTTGTTCAAGCCTGAAACCTGGAAGTCACCCTTGAGCTTCTCCCTTATCCATCAGAGCTAATCAGCAACCAAGACCTGCCAATTCTCTCTCCTCCACCTCTCCATCTACGCTGCCACCACCCGATCCCAGAAAACCTTCCTCTCTTACTTAATTTACACAATGTCTCCTCACTGGTTTCTCCACTGCCCCCATGACCCCCTCCAAACTGTTCTCCACAAGGCTGTCACAGAGAAATCTTTCGAATGCAAATCAGCTTGTGTTATTTCCTTGCTTAAGAATCGCCCACGCTTGCTTCCACCTGCTTTAAAGATGTCAATCAAAGCCTTCAGCATGGCCAACACAGCCAGCATGGTCCAGCTTCATCTCACACCACTGGCCTCTCTGTTATCCAGAAGGTCCTCAAATACACCATATCTCCTCACATTCAAGGGCTTCTACACTTGCTCTTCCTCTTCACAGAAGGCTCTTCTCCTACCCTCTCTCTCTCCAGTCCTCCAACATCCATGATCCTGCAGATCTCTGCCTAATCTCTACTTCCCTTTGCTGACCCCCAAAGAAGGTGAGATGCTCATCTGGATGACTCCCATAACTCCCTACAGTTCTCCCTTATAGCATCAACACATGGCTAAACACACAATTTACTCATCACCAGGTGACCATGCCTAGCACAGGTCCAGGCACACAGGAGATGCTTAAAACACACCTGACTGACCAGAACCCTCCAAGGATGAATGCATATCCACCCCAAGTGTTCATGGCAGAATCACCACTCTGTGGGGGGCAAGAGGAGAGGCCTGAACCCTGGATTCTGCCTGGTGTTCCAGCACCACAGGCATTAGCCTGTTTCTTCCAGTCAGCCACCCCACCCTGTAGAGTCCTGTTGTGATTCTATAAACTTATCTGACTTTTATTCAGGTACCTGATCTGGACCTATGCCAGATGTCTTACAGTAGCACATGTAATTCCTGGCTTACCAAGAGATGATGGTATTTCAAAGCTCTCTGTTGGTGAATTTTTAATCACCTGGCATTCTGTAAGACTTCTGTAAGATTTCTATGCTTGCCTTCCAGGAATCCCTGTGGTGAGACACCACATAGGGCCTCTATTCAGAACATCTACCACAGAGTTGAAGGGAGGAATAAAGTAAAAGAGTTTAAAAATATCAGGGCTTGCTTCTTTTTCAGTAGCACCTAGAAAAAAAAAAAACTGGAAGGAAGATGCAAATTGTACTGGGTAACCAAGACAGGAGATTATCTGTGTAAGTTTTATCCGTGGCTTCATCTTCCAGATAAGCAGGAGTCACCTGCAAATAAGGTTAACCAAAAGACCTCAGGTATTTTTTGCAAGCTTCTAGACCACCTCAGCCTCAGTGCTTGGTTAATATCTCCTAAAGTTTTTTTTTCATTTTC